AGAGAGAGAGAGAGAGAGAGAGAGAGAGAGAGAGAGAGAGAGAGAGAGAGAGAGACATGGACGTGACAGGGAGAGATAAATAGGGAGAGAGAGCGAGAGGGCGAGAGAGGGAGAGAGAGAGACAGACAGAGACAGAGCCAGAGAGAGGGAGAGAAAGCGAGAGGGCGAAGAGAGGGAGGGAGACAGAGACAGAAACAGAGAGAGGGAGAGAGAGAGATAGGAACCGAGAGCGAGAGGGCGAGAGAGATAGAGAGAAGAGACAGAGACAAAGACCGAGATCGAGGCAGGGAGAAATAAATTAGCAAAGCAGCACGCGAGGGGACACGGGTTGTGGGAACGGGGGACTGAGGCGGATCGGGCACCAAAAAAAGTGAAAGGCGTGTTGCACACAAGCCTTCTGGCAACAAAGAAGAGACACGGGACGACCGACTGAGATATACCAACAAAAAAATATCCATCCCACGAAAAGCAAGTGTTCGCGGTGTAGGAGACGAGACGGGCGGCGACGCCTGCATGACGCGGCGGGCTCTTGCAACACGTCGGGCAGAAGTAACAACAAGGACGACGACGACGACGACGACGACGACGACAGAGTGATGCTACCAAAGTTATAATGCAGCAGTCGCCGGGAGCTCTTAACGCGCCGCAAAAATGGTGCAACAACGCCCATGACGACGATGACGATGACGATGCCGCTCAAAGCTGTTCATGCATCAGTCGCGGGGAGGTACGTGAATCATACCCGTAGCCCTCTCGGTCAGAAGGAGAGTCACTGTAGCGCCCGCCGCCGCCGCTGTACCCCCCGCCGCCGCCGTTGTACCCACCTCCCCCGCTGTAGCCACTCCCGCCACTGCCAGGGGCATCTGATGGGGCAAGAAGGATCGATGAGGACGCGATAGGAAGTTGGGGGGACACACACCCGATCATATGCCACGGGTGCTGGGAGATACGTCACCATCTACGCCAACATAACACGCTATTGACCTTCGCGAAATTCAAATGATCGTCGAACGCATGAGAATAAATTCGATCTTGGCGGGCCCAGGGTTCGCGTTTTGACCTTGATAACCATGTATCTCCCTTCTGTATCTTGCCCTTTGTCTTCACCACTTCATCCCGTCCAATACCCCCGCCTCATTCTGTAGCCTTCGCGCAGTAGCTTCGCGTAGAGACTACGCTTGGTTGTAGTAGGGGGTACGCGGTTGGGTTAAGGGCTACGAACCCCCCGTCTCTACTTCATTGACAAAGAAATAATATTATATTATCCTACTTGGCGTTCACAAACCCCCAAAGACAACATGAAAAAAAAAAACTCTGTACACTATTTTCTGACCTCCGTATCGAGAGCTGCCGCTTCCTCCTCCCCCACTGTACCCACCGCCGCTGTACCCACCCCCGCCCCCGCTGTACCCGCCGCCGCTGTACCCGCCGCCGCTGTACCCGCCGCCGCTGTACCCACCCCCGCCGCCGCTGAAACCGCCGCCGCTTCCAAGCCCGACGTACTTGTCCCGAAGCTTGCGACACTTCTCGCGCTCTTCGCGGATCATGTCGTTGTCCTTAAGGAGTTCGATCACCTGCTTCGATTTCTCACGGACTGCACCAGGGTGCGTTTTTTTTTCCGACAAAAAAATAGAGGGAGGCGCAGGGGAGGTGAAAACACGATATGATTGATATAGGATGCATCAATTTGTCGCGGGGCCAGATGAGGGTTTCTGAAGAAAAAAGGCCTGGCATGAGGCGGTGTAGTGCTTCGAATCAGCACCGAACGTGCAAAGAGAACGTGTGCGGATATTGGTCACGACAACACGGTCATGTGACACAAAACGCGCGGTGTGTCTCCGCTGGCTCTGGAACAGCAGCAACAGAAGCAACAACAAAAAATACATGAATGATTGCACACGCCTGCGCTACGCTCTTCACATTCAAACACGAGCACAAGCGTCTCCATCACAAAGAGCAACGTAGGGTAGGAGGTCCCGCCCTCGAAAAAAGCATCGACAAAGACCCAAGGCAAGCAACATCACGGACGAAACATCATCGACACAGAAGCAGCAGCAGCAGCAGTCCCGCACCTCCGCTGCCTTTATCTATCGGCCCTTCATAGTAGTTGAAGTCGGAGAGCATGCGCACGCGGTGAAGGTTGTCCCGAGCGTCTTCGATAACGCGCTCCGCACCGTTCTTGATGAGGTGTTCTAGGAGACAAAGGGCCTGTCTCCGCCAACGGGGGGGGGGGGGGGGGGGACGCCGGGGTGATGAACATACCATTAGTACACGCTGTCGATTGCTGCTGGTGCCGCCACGCTCACGAGACCCANTACACGCTGTCGATTGCTGCTGGTGCCGCCACGCTCACGAGACCCACCAGCTTTCGTGCATGTAGGCTATACTCCCATCCGCGACGGCTTTCTACCAAACTTGTTTGTGCAGTTTGTATTGTGGGAAGCAACAAGTCTAGCGGGACCTGCTCCCCCCCTTCCGTCACGTGTGAGAGAAACGTCATCGGTGGGAACCGAGCCAGCGAGCAACTATATATTACTATTGCTCGTCCTTTCGCGGTGGATATTTTGGTTGACGGTTTCCGCATGATGCATGGTACGGTAATCTTCGCGCTTTCGCGGAATACTTCGTACGACATGGTACATGGTACATGGTACGGTATGAGCTTAGTAATCGCGAGACAGCCTAGGAGGGGAGGGGTGCGATCACTCCAACAACGCCGGCACCAAGATAAACGCATGTGCATCAATGCCTCTGTGTGCGTGCGCTGGAGGCATGCTTCCTTCTTACCTTGAAGACTTTACGCCACTCGCGGCTAGGGCTCTGAAGCGCAGTCCAGATGAGCGGCAACACGATGCCGTACTTCTCACTGAGGGTGACAGACACAGCACGGCGCGAAAGAGGGGGCAGCGCGCGCCGGGGAGGTGGGGAGCGTGGGACAATGGGCGTGGCTTGGGCAAAGCCCGCCTGTGGTATTTTTGTACAGCAACGATACCAACAAAAGGCTTTCGCTTCGACCTTTCAGTAAATTCGTTCTAGTGAAGTCCTGTGCTCCTCCTGTCATCCCAAGGCCGTGAAAACAACACCACTGAAACAAAATGGTCAACACGTCGGGGGCCCCGTATGAAGCAGAGCAAGTAACCCACCGGATAACAACGAGGGGGATTGCTGTAACAGGAGCTATGCATAGCTATTCATACAACTGATGGGATGAAGGGTTCGCGTCCCGGGGAGCACCATGCTCGCTGTACGATCGATGATGTACGGCCCAAGTAGCGATTCTCAGCTGTCGAACGGGCTGATCAATTCTTCCGTTGCAACGGATCCTAGAAAGTCAGTTCGCCGACGTTCTTCCGGACAACGTCGTTTCAGCCGAGGAGAGTGTGCGCTGGTCATCCGCATGGCAATACGAACGCCACCATGCGTTGTGGTCACGGGGGTAAGTCCGCTTGATTCCACCAGGTGCTGGTGACGGCGGTAGTACTACCCGGCGCACTGAACCTCACATACGAGCTACTCAAATATCTGTAACAGCATGCACGCCGTAGAAACCGTGCCGTGTCGCCTCTCGACGCACCGAAAAAAAAAATAGTCGTTGGGGTATGTACCCTGTGTGTGTCGAATTTTGCTTGTCCCGTCCCGCCCAAGGGTAGCTTGTCGTTCGAGGTTTCTTGCCTACCGTACCGTACCGTCCCTTACCGTCCCGTACCGTACCCAGCCTCTCCGACTGACGAGGTTAGAACCCTCATCTTCAGTAGCGGCGCATTCATCTGTGGCTTCACAACTGCTTATGTTTTGAACTCGAGACAGCAACATTGGTACATAGTTACCGTAGCAGGGAATCCGAAGACCTAATCTCACAAGTCGTTACAGACAGATAGATAGCTGCAGTAGCAGGGAATCGAATGTTATGTCTCACAAGTCGTAAGTGTCTCGAGCGATGTCGTTCAGCAGCGTGCTGGATGCCCCCCAGTTCTTGTTCGAGAGGGCTTCGTACACGCGCTTCTCCGTGTCGTTGCGCGGGGCAATGGTATCACGCCTGCGGTCAAGAGGGGGGGGGGAAAGAGTGATGGGGATGGAACGATGAGTCGAAGCTTTCTTCTCGAGCATACAGAGAAAGCACTCAAGCACAGCGAGCCCGTCGTGCCATCATCATCTGCTGTGCCGTGGGTCGTATAAGCGATTACAGCAGTACCACTGGCGTTGGAACAGTTTGAGATTGCAAAAAATGTCGCACCGTCCGTGTGTGGTGGTGTTACGCAGGGGGGGTGGTATCTTGTGTCACCCGTGTGATATAAATAAGTGCTTCGTACAACCAAAGGACGCAACCCACAGGGGGTGAGAAAATTGTGGGGGTTTGTGTTACCACCAGTTTGATTCTGAGAGAATTACGCACGCAAGTAAAATATTAGTACTAGTAATCAATGGCTAAATGTGTGGTATAAGTGCTTCGTACACCCAAAGGACGCAACCCACAGGGGGTGAGAAAATTGTGGGGGTTTGGTGTTATCACCAGTTTGATGCTGAGAGAATTATGCACGCAAGTACTATTAATACTAGTAATCAATGGCTAAATGTGTGGTGTTGTGTGGCGACAAATATACTCGGTATATCAGAACGGATACATACCTAACAGAACTTTCAAAAGACAAGAACACCTTGTCAGAACGCGCACAAACCACACTAACACCAAAAACCCAAAGCGGGGTGTCAGACTCGCAAAGAGGGAACTATGGGAAAAATAACCGAAATAGAAAAGCGGTACACAAATGATCAAACACGAACGCTTGGAAACAAAACCCGCAAAAAAATAAAGAAGGCTGCCGAACCGCCAAACTAACCAGTAGCTTTCGCGAATTTTTGCAATAAGGAAGTACATGTTGGATAAAGCATACAATCGGGGAAGTTGGGTTAGGGTGAGGGTTAGGGAAATAGGGTCTACGCCCTCTGTTATATTTCCTCATAAACTTATGTATTGCGCGAAGGCGGTCCAACTAAACGAATCACAGGAAGGGTCGTAGCGGATGCTGAGGGGTGTCTCATCAGGAGCCACACTGCTGTCGTGTGAAGGGTTGCGGAGTGTGAAAGGGGAGGAAGCCATCAAAACGATGTCAAAACCAAGACACACACGGGGAAGTTTGCTCATACAGTATGCTTCGGGAGTGAAAAAAAAAATTAGACGGGGCAGTTTGTTTTCTGCCGCCGGTAAATAGTTTCCTCGAATGTTGCTGGGCTGCTCTTGAAATAATTCCCGATGTTCTACATGGCACCAAATGTGGACAAAACAAACCCTTTGCTTGCACTGGAAGGAGCGCGGGGCCGTGGGAACACCTCCGGTGACTACCGCACGTTGCGCAAGATATCATACTCTCTGGGCCGATTATTCAAACCCTGGTGCATAACGTAGGTTGTATGATGTAAGATACCACACCCCCCGGACCAATTTCCAAAGCTCGATTACCCCTGACGACGAAGAGGATGCCGAAATCACGTGGCGCGTTTTGGGAAAGCTCTCAACGAAGGGTTTCTAACGCCGCCATGGTCGGCACCGTCGCTGCCGAGGAATCGACTTCTGCACCATTGGTCCGGGGGCTGTGATATCGAATGCACTCCAACTGCTGCAGAACTCTCAACACGATGAGGCTAGCTGCGCCAAAACTGACGCGTTGGAGGACAGCTGTCGACGAGACGGTTCCACCGACCATTTTTCGGGACAGCCGCTGTTTCTGCTGCAGATTAATCGACCATTGAAGATCTGTCCAGGCAATGTCGCACCTTCACGCAACCTTTTGCAACATTCGGTACTGCTGCTGTACATCCATCCGTAGACCGGTGGTATGCGCGCTAAACTTGGAAGAAGTTGAGCGTCTGACTAGGGAGACCCGGCGAAACTCTTGTATAGTGCGCGGAAGTCCTGCGCTAAAAAAATTGCTTCGACGCTTGGCGCCATTGAACACTAAAAACTCTGCCTTCCACAGCTGCTGCTGTTGGTTGTTTCCCATGAACGCACACACCTCCAATCAGTAAGTCAAAGCCGGGCCGTCTGGTGTCTCCCCGAAACACATCCTACTTGTCGCATCTGGTATGCTTCTTATGTGCTTGTCCTACACCACAAAGCGGTGAATGTACAGCCGTTCGTGCTACACGCGGCCAGCTTCGATGCACTTGTCTATCACCATAAGCTCGGCAAACAGCTGTGCTACACAAACTGCTCGAACTTTCTCAAAGCACCCATCGCAATACATGGGGCATGAATATCTGTGCAGGACGATGCGCGCGGGGGGCCGGACGGGGAAATTCTTCTCCACCGGACGTTCCGAAAGCGAGGGAGATTGTAGACATCACGCGAAAAACGTTAGGGACACGCACTGCTGTTCTTCCCCAGGACTAGCCACAGCAGTGGACTGCCCTCTTCTCGCCTGGCGCATATACGATCCCACGCATGCAGGCCACTGGGGGTATCTGCTCGTACATGGCGTTCTCAAAGGCTGTGCACATCACACAGCACATGCAGAGGGGGAACCAGAAACCCGCCTGAGGGCACGGAAAATCTCGCTTCTCTTGCTTTGCCGTTCGCACAATATAATCACAGCGCAAGAGCGGCAAACCGACAGCAGATACACTCACACTTCGCCGACCATGTTCTTGACCTTGTCCAGCGACAGCTTGTCCAGGGTGAGTTGACTGAGCTTGTCCATGATGCTGCTATCTCCAAGGCGCCGATGAAGCGCTCAAGACGGAGAGCTCTCGCAGAATGCCGTGCGTGTTAATTGTTTTGTTCTCTCTCCCCCTCACCGCCGTTGTCTGACCGGGCTTTCCGATCCGGCTCAACGTATAACGCTCTCCCTTTTCCTCCCGGATCTCGATCAGTGCTCTCCTTTGCAGCAGCAGGGTCCAGCAATGCCCCGAGATAATTCGTAAGTGTTCACGAACGACACGCCGCACACAGACCGGCCCCAAGGCTCGGTGCACCAATGTGGTCCCGCGGAATGGTCCCATGGTATACGGTGCATTGCACCGGCGAACCGCGGAGCCGCACAAAGTGCGGGGGGAATTGTGATTTGGGGCAAATGCACGCCAGCACAGCAGTAGCAGGTAGTTTTCCAAGAACAATAGTTGATCGAGCAGGTGACAGAGCAGGCTGCGAACGCTGTCAGCGGGTGTTGTGGATCACACACGAAAGGCTTGTGCTGTCGCCACCTCTGCCGGGACACTCACCGCAGCGTTCGAGAGGGGTCCAGAGAAAAAGAGAGCACGAGCGCCACCATGCCCACCGCGGAAGATGACCCCCTGGTCACCTCCAAGCGTTACGGGAGCGTCATGAGCACGCCCAACATTAACCAGCTCGCGGAGGATGCGGCCGGGAAACACGCCAAGTTCAACCGGAGCTCCTCCGTTGGCCCCGGGATCGTGGCCAGCAACCTCAACCCGCAGCAGCGCAACCGCCGCGCTCTCTACGTGAACCTCCCGTTCTTCAGGTAAGGGCGGTGCCGGGGGATCGTCACGGCTAGAAAAAATGTTGTCGATGCGCCGCCCGTTTCATCGGCAACACAGGCGTGGGCTAGCTGCTCGTGGTGGTTGTTGCGCATGTTTGATGATCTGGCAACACGTGAGCACAGGGGATGCCGCTGGCGCTGGCGGCTTGTGTTGAGTGCAACCAACAGCACTAGCAACTAACGCTCCTTCAGGCTCGGCGACGACAGAGGGACTTCGTGTGCTGCTAGACTAGACTAGGCTAAGACTACGGCTGTTGATTGAATTATTGTTGCTAATCTAGAAGGCATTGACATCACTCTGCAGAAGACTCATGTATTCGTTGGAGCAGAACACGGCACTAAAGTACTTGGCGCTTAAGGAGGCATTGTGTGGATCTGAGCGGGGATGGGGTCAGCGGTACTGTCGCACTATTTCGCGAGGTGCTCCTGCATTGGTCAGCACCGTGTTGCCAAACTCGTCTCGTTCGCAGCAGTTTTTTGCGCTGGTGTTGTGAATGGTTTGGCCGTAGGCTGCTTTTTGTGAGCCCAGCTGCTGCTGTTGCAGCGTCGTCATGACGCATCACGCAATCACTTCAAAGACCTCCACAGGATGCGGGGGGGGGGGGGGGG